ATATATATATATATATATATACACACACAAAATCATTGCTCTGAATTGGACTGATGTCATTTATGACATACAGATCGCTGTAAATTTATCATGATCTGGTCAAAGATGTACCCTGCACTGACTCAGAGCATTAAATGAGTGCGCAGAAAAACAGCAGTGGTCTCTGGCAACTGTTCTGTATGAAAGGTTACATGAAATCAGTAGCTTTTTTCTTCTTTTCATTTAAGAAAATTACAAAATACTAACAGAAACATTACCTCATGGTTACTATTATTTCACACTCAGGAAATCTGTTACCATTCAGCAGCAGCACAGTTGAATTCTGGTAAAACTTCTTTAGAGGTCTGATCTTTTCCTCTGTATAGGTTATAATTATGGATGGAAAATAATTAAACCTTTTAGTTTAGGGCTGGAGTTGTATGTGCTTTCTGGCTTTTATTACTGTGGACACAGCTTCAAAATTGAGCAGATCACTTACCCTTCTTTTCCTTGACACCATCGCAGCAGAAAATGGCTAGGGAAGTTAACTGGTTCAAGCTTGACTCCCAGCTGCCTGGCAATTGTTAAATAAAGCACAGACAAACTGATGGGAATTCCTGTTCTGCGGATCAAAACCTGGGGGATAAAAATCTGATAAGAACACGTGGAATATTAAAAAAAACCACCCACAAACCCCCAAGCTTTGATTTCACCAATGAAAATACACCAAACTTGACAGAATATGCACTAAAAGATGACATCGTATTGACCTCACAGCAAGTTTTCTTCAGAGAGAATTATTTGTTTGACTACATTCAGAAAAATAAACACCACAAATAGAATGTCTCAAGCCTTGCAGCCTCTTAGTTTTTGCCTAACATATACATACCTGGTGAATGTATGAATTCAGGGAGTTGTAGTAATCCAGCTCGTTTCCTTTGTATTTTAACTGCTCATACAGGACACAATTCATAGCATCAAGTACCTGCTGCTGAAGTTCCACTTCTGGAACCAGGACCTCTCCTAAAAAGACATGCAAAGAAATAAAGACTGAGAAAACAAGTGTACTTAACCTTTATGCAATGAACCTTATACCAAAATCCTTTGCATGGACAAGAGATTCACCTCAACAGAGATGAACACAAGAGATTCATCTCAATTCAGATAGTCAAGAGACTGGCTGGAGTTGACCACAGCAGTGCCTTAGAGCTCCGCTCACAACGTGGCCTGGCTCAGTGGATTGTCCTGTCCAACAGTGCTGCCTCGCTTCCTTCTGCAGCTGGAGGACTGGATCCTAACCAAGCTGTGCCAGCACAGCACTGCAGCTGGACATGTCACACTGCCCAGGCATGGGAAGTGTGTTTTCACTGCTTGAGAGTCCCAGCTCAGCCACTCCAGACAGACAGATACAGGCAGACAGCTCATTCTCTCTTTGAAAGACAGCGAACACGAGACAATGCTTATAAAAAACAAGGAGCAAGATGCTGTCTGACTTTTGCAGATGTTAAAGCACACATCTTTTCTATTGCTGCTGACTTTCTGAGACTTTTAGAGGAAAACAGGTTGATCCCCTGTCCCATATCTCAGCTACAGATATTAAGACTTCACAGACAAATGGGGAAAAAACAATAAAGAAGAAGAATCCATCCTTTTTGCTTAGACAGCATCAGATGGACAGACAATCCTGGGCTACTGAGTCCTTGTGGCTGAACAAACAGCTGTTTCCTGAATGATGGCAGAATATACTTGCAAGGGTATGCTACAACAGCTTTGTTGAACAACAGCTCTTTAAGTTGCAATAATTCAACAGCTGTTTTACCTTGCCTGGCTGTACCTAAGCCCTGCAGAAACACCCTGCAGTAAAGCACACGTTTCTGTACAGTACCTGCCTTGGAAGCCAAGCTGGGGTGCCTTGAATTCTTTGTCCGCAGGACTTTGCGCACTTTATCTGTGATATCATCCACTTGTGCCTGGACACTCTTTAAGCAGATGTCTGACAGTGGGTTACAATATTGGTCAATTAAAACAGCACCTAGAAAAAACAAACTATATAAGAAACAGGACTTCAGGTTTTTTTTCTTTGCTTAGTTTTATCTAGTCTAAATTTCAGGCATGCAGCAAGCAATTGCAGCAGAACACAGAAGCTTTCCTTTCAAAATTTGCAGTCACATATTGAATTTATCACATAAAATGCAAAGAATAAGCTGACATGATAAATACCAATTCAATTCAGTATTTCCCTCTCCACCATCACAAAAGGGAAAGCAATAGATTTGTACATTGAGCAGGTATGCTGCTAGACCAGGCTTAACTAGCCAACTCTCCAGTCACACTGCATCTCTTGGCATCCTCCCAACTTACACTGTTATTTATTCAGAGCCTGAAACAATCTTCACTTCTGCTTCAGTTCTGATTTCTTCCTGCCATATCCTCCACAGCTATCATTCTTGCTCATCATTCCCTTTCCTACTACATTCATCTTTCTCTTTCACACCTGTTCTCCATCTTCATGTCAAAATCCCAGTATAACAGAATAGATTATTTTCCTCCTGCCCAAGCCTCTTCTGTCAAACTTCAGCAGGGAAAAAAAAAATAGCCCTTTCTCACAATCTTCTCCTTGTCATCTTGTCACCACTGCTCTTTCCAAAGCCTGCATATTGTTCAACTTTTGGAATCAACTGGATTCACTTGCAAGAATTTTGCATGGATCATACCTTCGTTGCTTTGTTAGCACGTCCATGACAGGCCTGTATTCAAGGATTTCAGCAGAACTCCAACCCATGTCTTCTTTTTCCCCCTCCTAGTGCTCTCCATACTGACCAGGTGAAGTTTCACAAAAAACTACCTGTTGGTTTCACAAAAGACTACCTCCATGGCAGAGAAATAAACGTATTTTTCGCCCACTTGATTAAGTCACATATTTAATTGTCTTGGTTGTTTCCAGAAAAAGCCACTTTTGGCTTTCTCTTCTTGCCCTAACACACTCTGTTCTTCAAAGTCTATTGCCACTAACAAGAACCAGCTTTGATGTTAGAGACTCGTTTGTATGACATTTTTGAGGCATATAACCAAGAGTAAGGGACTCTTCAACAGACACTGGCAGTTTTCATCCCATTCAGGAGACCGTCTTCTCCACAGGGAGCTTGGAAAAGAGAATAATCCACCAGAATGAGGATATAACTTGTAGAAAAGCCTTTTCTTTCTTCATAGCAGGTGCATGTGCCTTCCCACCATATGACTGTACTTATATCTGTTACCCAGCTCTACACTGCGCAGCTTCACCAGCCCAGCAGTCACACAGCTCTCAAGAGAAAGCCACAGTGCACAGGCTATCAGCCACAATAACAATTCCCTCACCTGCAGCTCACTCCTTGCCCTTATCAAAGAAGCTCTTGGGAAAGGAGATAGCGGGGAGCTGAACTCGGAATCAGATCAGTTGCTCTGTTAGGTCATACTCAGCCCACGTGCCAAAGTTAAAATGCTTCTGCTATGTCAGCTAATTAGGATGCTGAACTACTGCTGATTTCATCAATACACTGGTCAAGATTGAAACATAAATGTTTTAACATTTTCTCCATTGCTTTTCAGCTCATCTGTCCATGGGCAATTATTCAAGCATACAGCACTGACAGAAGCTAATGAAATCCCGACATTCTGATGCAACACACTGCAACTGCTGCAAGATTTTGAGGATTTCAGGTACATCCAACTTAATTCTGAGCCGTTGTCCAAGGGCTAGTTGAAATATCAGCAAGGAAAGCTCTTTCCAAGTAAAACAACAATGATGGAAAGCTATAATTAGGTGCTCCCCATGGGGTTTCTGCCAAAGACTTACCCTCCAAAAATGACTGTCGATCAGTAGGGCGCTGAAGATACTCCTTCAGGTTTTTTAATATATTCTGTTGCCGTAGGAAGTATAGAATTTTCTTTGCGTAGTATTTCCAGGTCAGACCTTTCCTGCACATTTAAATACAAAAAGCAGTATTGCCCTAAACAAGCACTTTAAGGGTGAACATTTGATTTAACTTTGCTAGTGAATCCAGGTTTACAATTGAGACTATTGCTTTTCTAAACAAGACTGACAACATCACTATCACCAAAGAATCAACCAAAAAGGTAAATGTTAAGAGGAAATTCGTCATCAAAAAACCACAATATAAGAAACGTTGCTCCTATAATCTCTGATTTTTATCACCAATATATAACTTTGAGAAGATAAAGTATCATGGGAAACCATACATCCTAATTAAAGTAGCTCAGGTATATCTGATTAAAATCCTATATTTTATTCATAAAACATTATCCTATGTCTGACTAGATCCCTTCAGAATCAATCTTCTCACCACTAAAAAGAAACTGATGAGGGACATGAACATAGGTCCAATAGTATTCAGAAGAATAAAAAAAAATCCCCAGAAGAAAAACACACCTCTGATGCTCTGAAAAGGCAGGAACAGATCAACAATTGGCCTGTAGATCACACAAACCAAAACCTTACAGCTTTTATAGTAAAGCCCCTTCACTTTCTAAACTAACAAGTGAAGGCAGAGCACCCAAGAAGAAGCAACAGAGAGGTGGTTACTATCCAGGTAAGGTTTGAAGAGGTCACCTGAAATGTGTCAGACCAAGGCAGAGGCATTTCAGTCTCATGCATCTAACCAAGCCTTGGCCTTTAGCAATGGGTCACCCAGTGCCTCACTTAGCACTTTTACACCATATCGTGAGGAATGGCACAAAGCTCTGGCCCCCAAAAAACCCAAAGGGAGAATTCTACTGATCCCAGGCTCTGCTCTTGCCACGTACTTAAAACAAAACAAGTCCAGTTTCCTCCTTCAGAAAAAAAACCCCCTCTTTTCCTGCTTACATTTCTTCTCCTCCAGATTGCAGGTCAAATCAGTCTTCTCCATCCTACTGGACAGAAGAACAATGAAATCTCATAACACTTTATCCTCTTCCAATAAACTGGGATGCTCAATAGGGACAACTGCTTTATTGGGCTATCTTCCAGGGAAATGATTTAGCCTAATGCTCCTGAATGGCAACAACTACAGCTTAATCAGGGTGTAATTAGCATCAATTCTGCTTTATGGGGAGGCATTTGGCCGGTGCAAAGGCTCAAAAGCTTTTTAACCAGTTGTCAAATGAGAGATGTTTAGTCCCAGTTCAAATAGAGGAGGTAATAAAATGGATGTGAAAAAGCAAAAAATGAGATGATTACCATTCCAGTTATGTTTTTTCAAGCTCTACTAACAGTCCCTTTAATCAAGGCTATTAGACTCCATTAAGAGCAATCTATCACTGCTTCGTATCACAGCAAAATCAGCATAGTTCATACATTACCAGGAGAAAAACCTTCAAGTAAAGCAGTGACTTATTCATCTTGCCCACTGCTGATCATGGTGATAAGAATACCTGGGCAGATGCAAACCAGAAGTTTCATTTACTTGCTTGGCATTTCAGCTGTCTGAATAATTGACAGAACTGCAAATTGTGCAGAGGTTGAATTCAACTCAGTTGTTTATTTGGGTCCAAAAATTGTACCAACCTACGACAGTTAAGAAAAGTAACAAGAAGGAAGGGGGGGAAGGCACTGTAGTTTCATGATACAAGAATTCATGGTGGCAATCCTCACTGAGTATTCCTGCTTCCCTCCAGTGCTGTGGCCTCATCCTGCAAATCAGTTCAGCAAACTGATCCAGGTTTAAACAAAAAAGGAATATGAGGATGGGAACTCCTTAAACCAAAACTACTGCACAGAAGAGGATACATGGAACATGTCCCAAGAGATGTCATGAAATGGCAAGGAAACAAGCAACAAAGAGCAACACCAAGCCAGAGGACCTCCTTCTTGTAGAATAGTTTATATGGTTTCTTCTGGGAATATTAAATTTGTTCTGAAATTAAACACACAGAAATACTTCCCAGCCTTGGTAAGCCTGGGGATGTTGTTTTATGCGAGTGACAAAAGGACAGAAGCTGAGGTCAGGCATTCACCATAGTATCGTTCTCCTTTAACCTGTGAAAGGGGAAAAATCCTTTCCATTTCCAACCCCTCTCTTTCTTACCTTCCTTCCATGTTAAGGATACACATCAGTTCATCCTCAAAAAAATGACTTGGGCACCCGAGAGTCTCAATGTCACTGAATCCATCACAGGGGACCTGTCAAACCAGACAAGGAATCATGCAGAGCACAACAGATTCTTTACAGTAGAACATCATTTCATAAAACATCTCAAAACCAATTTTGTTCTATTTTTTAAATTTATGTAAGATCTTAAAAACAACCAGTTCACCAAGAAGCAGGAGCTTTCATTTGAACCTCAAACTTACACTTAAAAGCCTCATCTGATTAATGACGAGCACTAACCCAGACTTACCAGCTTGTTGACAGAAGAGAATTTTTTTAAACAATCACTTATGTGTCTATAATCAGAAGAGTTATTTTCTTCCAGAATTCAAAATTCTTTTTTTAAGCTTTGATTGGATTGTAAGAAATGTTTTAGCCTTCAAGCTTTTCAGTATAGGACACAGGCTAAATTATACTGTACCTTAGCAGTCACTCCACAGGATCTAGTGGAACTGGGCTGAAAGTCTCTTCCCCTCAGTTCTAAGCAGGGAATCGAGCTGCACTTTCTATCCTCACAGGGGATGGTCCTAATTATTAGGCCTTTGGTATTGCTGAGTGATCTCTCAGTAGTCTTTGCATACTTGATTAAAACAGTAGGAATCCAGGAGCCTCTGCCCCTGGTTAATGCCCCGACACCATATTCCTCCATGGTCAAATGTCTGTCTGCTGCAGCTACAGTGGAACAGTTCAAAAAGAACATCTCCAAAATCCCTACTGGCCTCACAGCCCTTTTCTCCAGGGGTGAAAACCTAGGTGCCAACCCTTGCTTAAAATCAAATAAGAAGATTTCAACACAGGACCTCCTATATCTTAAGGGAATTCTCTACTGGACCACAAAACATTCACAAAGGAGCCACAGAGAGGTGGCCGTTTAGTGGCTCTTGTGTGAACATTTTAATTCAGCCCAAGTTACAGGCAACATTTACAGCTATTTCACAGAATTTCAGGTTGACTTGAATTGTACAGCGAGCCAAAACCCACAGCCATCAACTAAGCAAACAGCCCATGAAATAACTCTTGTTCTACACACAAGTAACTCTCTGAGAGATCACATTTTCACACCCAACACAAAAGCACCTTCTTGTCATGGTTGGGTAAAGAACTTAAATAATATACTTTCCAATTCAGTGAACCAATTGCGCCTTGGTCCTGTTTTCAAATGACTTCTGACAACTCACTGTGCCCTCGTGGCCAGGAAGGCCAATGGCATCCTGGGGTGTATTAGAAGGGGTGTGGTGAGTAGGTGGAGAGAGGTTCTCCTCCCCCTCTACTCTGCCCTGCTGAAGCCACATCTGGAATATTGTGTCCAGTTCTGGGCCCCACAGTTCAAGAAGGACAGGGAACTGCTGGAGAGAGCCCAGCACAGAGCCACCAAGATGATGAAGGGAGTGGAGCATCTCCCTGCTGAGGAAAGGCTGAGGGAGCTGGGGCTCTTTAGCTTGGAGAAGAGGAGACTGAGGGGTGACCTCATTAATGTTTATAAATATGTTAAGGGTGAATGTCAGGAGGATGGAGCCAGGCTCTTCTCAGTGATGCCCAATGGTAGGACAAGGGGCATTGGGTGTGAGCTGGAGCACAGGAGGTTCTGCTTCAACTTGAGAAGAAACTTCTTTCCAGTGAGGGTGCCAGAGCCCTGGGACAGGCTGCCCAGGGAGGGTGTGGAGTCTCCTTCTCTGGAGACATTCAAGACCCATCTGGACGCCTTCCTGTGTGATCTCATTTAGGTTCCTGCTCTGGCAGGGGGGTTGGACTGGATGATCTTTCGAGGTCCCTTCCAATCCCTGACATTCTGTGATTCTGTGAACTCACAGAACGTAGCCTTGCACAAGGTTTGCAGTGAGATAAATTCAGAGGCTGTGGTATGTGTCCACAAACTATCGGTCCTTCAGAAGCTCCCAGAGCCAGGTCTGAATGTGCAGCAATGAGCAAAGAGCTTTTAAAGCTGCCGCAGCAGCAGCCAAACGCGATGTGCAGAGTGTGCTTTGGACTCTGTGCACCTCTGGATTTTGAACTGTGTCTCCCCTTTTGGCTGCTGATGTAGCATTTTCACAGAAAGTGAGGAAATATGAATTTTCTGACTGTACAGTTGAAAAGATGTGAAGACAGAGGAAAGAGAAACTAATAACAAGTACTAACCAAGTAGCTAGGTTGTTGCACACACACAGAGCAGGCGACTTACATGTTCTGAAAAGAACCTTTTGGAGAATGAAGCTACAATTCTCTGGGCCTCCAGACCAGCATTGTGCCGTGCTTTGTATTCTTCAAGCCAGCTAACACCGTCTGTCTGGCTATAGTATTTCATCAGCGATGGCCATCTACACAACAAGACAGAAGTGAACAGGTTCATTAGTATTTCAACATCACGGAGAACCTCCAGAACTGTAAAATGTTGATTATTGTAACCACGTGACTTGAGGAGCTAAGACATTGCCAAGACATGGTAGAACTAAATGTAATTGTATAAATTAATCCAATGACCGACTCAAGCATCAAAGCATAAATCAGTTTATTTCATCTGCGTATTAATGGTTATTTAAAAGTAAGTTCTCCTGAAACCCGCCAACAGGAAACCTTCAAAAGGTTCATACTCCGGGTATTTCAATATCCAAATATCCTAAGCAGTTTTGAGATTTCCTCTAAAACTTTGCAAGATAAACATCAGCATCACATTAGTAGAAGAGATGCAGAGTTTTATAATTAAAAGAAAAAAAAAAGAGTCTGCCATTCTGAAGAGGTATCACATTTAAGCTAATTCATCTAATAGAATAAGAATTCATCGTCCTGTGTTCTTCTTACTGCCTCGTGGGTTTAATTAAAAGGATGCACAAAACAGAGCTCCTTCTATTGTCCTTGCCAGTGGCAACATCTACTGAAGGAAAACAGAATTCTGAAGTAAAATTGTGACATCTAAATGCTCTTGCAGTTCATTTTTAATACAAGAAATAATCATTTTCAAAAAAAACCAAACCCCCACATCTTCGTTGTAAAAGAAAACTGTACCTGCTTTACTAAGTCTAAAAGACCCAAAACTAAAACACATTCCACAGCTTCCTAAGAAGTGGTTCAAGGTTCAACTGAAAACCTAACTTCAGGTAATGCTTCAGGGGCTGTTAGCAGCAGCACCTTTTGTAATAAGGTGGGCACAACACAGCCCTGTGCAATAAAATACGTGCCAGCGTAGCAATACCCATGACTGTTCTGAAGATATAAAGATCATCTGTGTACGAAACACCAAGAAGAATCAGCCCAGATGCAAACATTTCAGACAGCATGGGAAAGTGAGCTGAGAGAAAGGCCTCTTGTAATTTACAGGGGTGTTTATGTCACATTTTGAAATCCTGTTAGTAATTATTATTTTTTACAAAATATTTTCCTTCAGCTACATGAATTCTTTAGGTTCTTTTCAGGTTACATATGTATAGATATATATACAATATACCTAATTTTATAGATCTATATATTTTTACCCTTATATATACAGAACAAGCCAAATGTTTAAGCCACTACTAGTGTATAATAATTATCACCAACTGACCAAAAGGCATAGTCATGTCTGTCCACACATAGAAGATATTTTACTACCAGTTAATAATAAAACTACACTGTGATTGCAGTTACAAAATAAAGTCAAAGACTAACCAAATAACTCTGTATTATATAACAGCCTCTCTCCTGATGGATCCCTAGCCATTCATCTACCCCTGAAACACAGCCACGCCGTAATAACAATTACAATCATTTATTTGAGGATGAGCAAGCATCATTTCTGGAGTTGAAATTCTATTGAAAATTTTAGGAAGATGAAGTGTAATTACTCATGATGGAATCCAGCCAGGATGACAAGGTCAATGTGCAAACTCCTGCCAAAAGTTCTATTATCAAAGACAGAGGAGGACAGGAGCATGTGCTAATCACCTACCACATTCAATTTCAGCTGTTGGATCTCAACCATTTCTAAACTTTCAGGTTCCCTTCAGAAATCAGAGCCACTGAATTGGTGAAAAGATCTGGCCAGCCACCCCAAGCCATAGCTTGGCGAACCGGGGAAGCTGTCATTGTTCAGTAGCCTTTTTCTCTCGTGAAAAGAGAATAATCCTCTCATTCAAGCTACGCTAAATTTTAAAGCCAAATGGCAATTAGAGAAAGCAATATTGTTACATTTCCTGTGCCAAAACACAGACAAAAGCAGGTAGTGGATGAGTGTGCCCTATTCTAGACGGGCTGGCGGCCCCAGCGAAGGAGCCGTGTTCCCAGAACTGCTGAAACCATAAGCGATGTGAACAGTGATGCTCACGCTTTATTCCGAGCTAAAGCACTCACAGTTTTGCTGGTTAGAACACAGATCTCATCAGATTATCTCGTTATCCTCATCACATACCCTGGGACTGCCTTTGGGGGGAAATTAAACCCACAAGCAGCAAAATTCAATCCATAAGGATTTTGGTTTCTGTGGGAATAGCTCTCCCAAAAGCACTACAAATAAAACTTTGCTGCAAAGCATTAGTCCTGGGACAGGATGCCTTGGCAGTTGGTTTGGAAGCTGGTAGCCAGCAGTACCTGCCTTAGTGGGATGAGGGAGGCCAAGTGACAACCCCAGTGTGCATGTGGCCCTGTGTTGGTATCACTGCCAGAGCCCAGGGTGGATCTGGAGCCTAAAGGCAATCCAAGTGTCACCTCCTCAGAGCAGGAGGCCGTGAAGATGGGCCTCCTCCGAGCAGCAGGCTCAGCCTGGTCCCACTCCCGGGGGTTTAGGAGGAGATGCCGCCTCGCACACAGGCGGTGCCAGCCCTGCTCGGGAAACCCCCCCCATCTCCTCAGCAGGGAGCCGCGGGGCCCGCCCGACCCGCGAGGGGTTCAGCATGCACCGAGCAGGGCTGGGCAGGGACGAGAGACAGCGATGGGGGGTGTGTGTGTGTGGGGGGGGGTCACTTCCACCGCCCCCCGCGCACCCCCGGCCCTCCCAAGGCCGAGGGGACCCAGGGCCCCGCTGCCAGCGGAGCCCCCCCGGGTGCGGCCGGGCCCG